TAATGTTTATGAATTCTGATTGTAAAACAAACTTCGCGGTGTTTCACATCAAAGATATACTTTCCCATGGATACATAAACAAATGTGTTGTGCTTTTTCTTCATCCAAATTTTCGCGTAAGTACTTATTTATACGATTATTGAGTTAGTTAAAATTTAAAAAAAAAATTATTTTAATGAAATGTTTTTTAGCAAAGATTAAAATTATTGTTTCTCTCTCTTTTTTATATTGATAATTTTTTTTCAAATAATAATAATGTGTATGAATTCTGATTGTAAAACAAACTTCGTGGTGTTTCTCATCAAAGATATACTTTCCCATGGATACATAAACAAATGTGTTGCGCTTTTTCTCCAACCAATTTTCGCGCAAGTACTTATTTATACGATTATTGAGTTAATTAAAATTTAAAAAAAAATTATTTCAATAAATTTTTTTTTAGCAGATATCAAAATTATTGTTTCTCTCTCTTTTTTTAAATTAATAATTTTCATCAAATAATAATAATGTTTATGAATTCTGATTGTAAAACAAATTTTATTTTGCTTCCAAACTTTGCATTGGATTATAAAAAAAAAGCTACATAGATTTTTTCCAACCACATAAAATTTGTTGTTTTTAAAACTTAATTAAATTTTTTTGTAATAAATGATTATTTTAAAAGTTCGATTCAAAGTAATTTGATGTTCGGTATCAATTGATAACAATTTGTTTGTTTTTTAACGATTATTGAGTTATTTAAAATTTAAAAAAAATAAATTATTTTAATAAAATGTTTTTGTAGCAAAGATTAAAATTATTGTTTCTCTCTCTCTCTCTTTTTATATTAATAATTTTTATCAAATAATAGTAATGTTTATAAATTCTGATTGTAAAACAAATTTTATTTTGCTTCTAAGCTTCACACTGGATAATATAAAAAAAAAAGCTACATACATTTTCTTCAGCCACCTAAAATTTTTTGTTTTTAAAACTTAATTAATTTTTTTATAATAAATAATTAGTTTAAAAGTTCCGTTAAGTTCTATAATTTAATGTTCTGTATCTATTGATAATATTTTTTTTCTTTTTTTTTTAAATTATAATTTTTAAATGTAAGATTTTTTTTTCAAATTTATTCACGCAACTGCAAATTTGTTAAAAAAAATTTTTTTTCAAAAATAAAATTTTCTCTTCAAATAAATAATTATTTTAAAGTAATCTGAAGTTATTCACGTTACTAAAGGATAACAATTTAAAAATTAATTTTTTACTTGTTGGTTCATTATTTTTATTTTAAATTTTTTTACTGTAGAATAATTAAAAATACTCATGACATATTTTAAGTGAATTAAAATAAAATAAATTTCATTACTTTCTTCCAACAAAAATAAAATAAGTTTTTGTCAAACAAAGGCTAGTATAAAATTGAAAATTGTTGATTTTTAATTAAATGATTGCTTTATTTTGAAAATATCATTTCGTTTTCTATTTTTAAAAATTCAACTTTACTTCGAAATTTTTTTTCGTTAATTTAATTTTAAATTAAATATTTTTAATTTAACTTATGCTTAAAATATTATTTTTTTATCCTGTAATTACAAAATAAAAGGTACTGGTACTATCCCGCATTAAGAGATATTTAAGAAATTAATAAAAATAATATTTAAAATTAATATTTTTAATGATGAAACTTTTCAAAGAAAAAAAGCAGTTAAAAGTTTATTTTGAAAAGTTATTTGCAGTTAAAAACATTTTTTATAAGTAACTCAGTAGAATACAAATTAAATTTTAACTTTAAAATAACTGTTCACTTAATTTTAAATCAAATACATTCAATTTTATATAGTAGATTTAAAAGAGATTTTTTTCCCTCTACTTAATAATTTATATAAAGATTGATAATTATAGAAGTTAAAATTATCGCTGTATACGTTATAAATAATGTGCATTTCGAAATTAATTTACGAATGCTTTGTTTTATGTAAATGATAAGTAACAAGATAAGTAGCATTCAGGATAAAAACTGTCATTTAGCTTATAACCATTATTATTTGAGTTTTGTGAGAAATATATATATGTGTAATATGACACTTTTAAAGAGTAGTCATAAATATCCTATTAACATGTAGTGGTGCACGATTTTTTTAAAATTCAAATTTAGTTAAATATTAATGCATTACTTTTGCTACCACTAGAAAAAATATTTTTTCACGCTACAGCGGAAGGTGCCGTATCTATTTTGAAGTTACATGTGCTTATGGTCCAGAATCACTGTCTTAGCAAAATCCACCAGATTGGCCCAAAAAAGCAAACCCCAAAAAGAGGATTCCCCCAATTTTGTGTAGACTTATTCTTATTGGTTAAGTTAATTCAATTTAATGACCACTGTATATGAATAATTCAAACGTACATAGAAAACGTCACTTTGGCTCAGTTATCATTTGTTGTAATTTTTAAACTGCTAGCAATTTAAGAAAAAAAAAAAAAAAAACCATCAATTAGCCTTTTAACAGTTAAAAAAACCGGCGCAACCACTGAAAGTTTACAAAACAAATCTTCATGTTTGCGAACTTATACTTGTCTACTCTTCTGGTTTTCCCGGAAAATTTTATTTATATAGTCAATGTGGTTGCAAAATTTATGGAATTACATTTTATTCTTCATTAAATAAATACGGTTTAAAATGATTTTAACTATCATTCAACTGCGCGTACGAGTGCTGTAATTAGCCGGCGACAAACTGCACTGACTATAATTCCATTTTCCATTAAGCAAATTTTCCATTTACCTATATTAGACTAATACCACAGAAAGTATATGTTGATTACGTTTAATAAGTTTTGTGAATCAAAACAAGTTACTTCTGTGTGTTATATTTAGGAATGAAGTATTTTCTAGTTATAAAAGTGAAATGTAAAGAGAAATCTTTACATGTAATGTGCACACTTCGCGGCGTGATACACCGTTTAGTGGCCTCACTTTAGCCTAACGGAAAGTTTGAAAGTTACTGATCTGAAAGGAACTTTTTCATATATTGATTCAAAGAAAATAAGAACAATAAGGAATAAGAGCAACCACTGGGGTTGGAGAGCGGAGCGAGCTCAGGATTGAACCTCCTAGTAAAATAAATAAATAATCAAAATTAACTGGGAAATGGCAAGAGATAATTATAGGAAATAATAAACTTTTTCACAGATTTAACTTTTTACGAATTCAGTAAAACATTTTTAACATAAAAAGGAGGGGGGGGGAGTTGTCATTTAACGTAAGACAAATTTTCTTAATTGGTTACGTTTAATGTATTTTTTTACGAGTAGGGCAACACCCGATATTTGTTCTAAAATAAAAAGAGGTTTATATGATGTATCTGTTCTAAATCCAATGGCAACGTTTCCTTCCGAATCAATCCCGGATCTCCAAATAAGAAAACATGCTTTCTCCGAATTTAATTAAAACCGATTAATTTTTATTCCGTCCAGTCTAAAAAAAAAGAAAAAAGAAGAGAGTTTGATAGCGAATTTTCTACACCCCAGGCGTCATTACTATCGAATTTGGAACGTAATCGTTCGAAATGTGTGTCAAACGATATTCTAATTCTCTTCTTGGAAGCTACAGAGATCGTGTCAGGTTCGAATGTTGTTATTTTTATTGTTTTTATATCTACATGCTCAATAGTAAAATCTTGACCTTGATATCAAGAAGAATGAGGTCGTAAGCAAAAGGAGCATCTTTCGAACAAGATGGAAAAGTTTTTAATCTCGAATTCGAAAAAGGTGTAAAAGTAGAACGAGTTCTTTTCTCTCTTTAAAATTAATTTTTGACATAACGAGGTGTGACTAATGATCATGTTCTTGCTTCCTAACATGATATCACCTTGCTTTCGGGTTCTTCTTTTGAAAGTAATTAGAAATTCTGGAGTAACTTAGAAATCGTTTGCTTCTAGTTTTATTTCAAATGTTATTCGTTGGCCTATTATCACCGTTAAGATCGTTTTATTTAAAAGCTTCTGATTACGGGACCCAAATCGGTAGTGAAAAGTTTAATAAATTAATAATAATAATAATAACATGTCTTCGAATATATTAGTAAGACAGAAATGATTCTTCCAATACATAATCACGTTTTTCCTTTCCTTGTACTTTTTAATGTGAGAACGTTTATTTACAAATTTTCTTTCTTTATATTTTGAATCATATTGCTGTTATCACAATAATTTTCGAGTTATTATTATTTTAACTTTTTCCAGCACAGTGAATTTCGAATTAAAATTTTAATACAACAGCACATTAGTGATTACGATCGTAAATAGAGCATTCTAAGTAAAGAGTTAAACATGAGCTTTATCTAGCGTACTTCAAGAAAATAGATTTCCCAGTGGTAGCAAAGATTATGTATAAATATTTTAATAATTTAGAATTAAAATAATTTGGTGCACCACTACATATAAAATATTTAAATACATGTTAAAAATTAGACTATTGACTTTTTTTTTTATATAAGTTTCAATAAAACTATAAAAATTCCTTCTTCTTAAAAATTTCTGCCGCAGTTTACAGGACATAAAGTATTATAGAAATCGCAAACGTTGATGTTATTTCAGCAATAGGAGTTACTAAAACACGGTAACCGTTTACATAGTTTTTTTGGGAGCCTGAGGTCTTTTATTAGTGGTTTTCAAATGTAAATAATGAGATTAATTGTAAGCAGTTTTACATTTCTGTGTTGTTTCTAATATTCGTGGAATAAGCGGTCCTATACAAGCCACAATGCGTCGGAAGAGGTAAAATGCAAGATAAATTGATACAGGTCGAACAAATTACGTTGAATTAAAAGTCTAGTTAATATTTTAAAATATGAAAGGTATACCTCACTGTTATATAAACATACGTGGTTTGATTTCATGTGTCAAATGTTAATTTTATTAAAGTCACGACGCAAAAATTTATATAGTTATGCTTCATCCAAATAAATCTACTAATTAAAAAAAATAATAATAAACTTATAATTTTATACTTATAACATTAAAAATTCTATTTCTTAATTTTCACAACAATTTTTTTTTTAAAGTGAAAACAAAATGTATACTTTATTATTTTTCTTTATTCAACAAGTTATTTTCTTTATTCAACAAAAT